TCGACTGTGTCGCGGCGTCTCTCTCTCTACTGTCTGACAGTTCGTCAATGCAACCGCACATAGCCTGCCTGCCACATCCCCGCCGTGCAACCTCCTGCCCCCATACCATAGATGCCCCATTCAACGACAATGACGGCGTGGAAATCCAATACGCGATCTCTCGAAGTCAACGTCATCTCCGTTAGACGCTGAGTCTACGTAAGTCTCGCCTTGTCTCTGCTGGCTGTTTTATGTAATGGAGAGGAGCTGAAGAAAGAAACAGCCAAGACATTAAGAAGAATGCTCTGAGAGGGGGTTGGGGTCTGAAGAATAAAGCTGGCCATATTCCATTAACAATACTTTGGTCTCTAAGCCAAAATAAAAGTTATAGCCCCAAGTTTAAAGGCTCTAGTTAATCAGCATTGGAAGTTATTTCAAAGATTTAAAAAATCGCCATTATTTTAAAGTATCTGTTAGAAGAGTATTAGAAAAAGCATAAGCCTTTGTATTGTTGCCATTTTGAAATATGACTTTAAACAATAGGTGGTAGAGCTCCTACTCTCCTGCTAACTTCTTTTCTCTGCCAACTGACAGGATGGATGGACCCGTGAGATGAGTTTTGTTTCTTGACTTGTTTTTTTGTTATGTAGCTTTCTTCACATATCTCTAAGCACTGAATTCTGCGATGGTTTTTGCCATTCTTTGGGGCGTTGGTGGTCTCCTGGACGGAGTTTACCGTTAACAATTGGTGGCCCTGTGAGAAGCGAGCAATCAATTAACACACCTTCAGGTGGGTGGATAAGGGAAGAGGCCGAACCCACGGCCAGAACTCCCTCCACGCGCACCACTCCACCGTTGACAGTTACAAATGCATCACTCGCTCACGAGTCGTGGGCTAATTTGCGGTTTCAGCTTGCAGCCAGGCTAATTAACATATAAATTTAGAGGTGTTTCACATTTGTGTTTATTTATGAATGGAGCTGACAGAGACAAAGAGGTGGCAGGCTGCAGCTCGTGGAGGTGGAAGAGGAGGCTTACCAAGTGCACTAGGAAAAGTTTTACCTCCAAGTAGACCATTTTTCATGTTTGAATAAAGATTATTCTTTCAGTGTGACAATCTGCAATATGCATCTCATAGTCGTACTCATATGCAAGCCAAGGTCGCTTCGGGTTCCGTTCAGGTAGAGCAGCATCGACAAAAGTCGATTGCAGTTTATGGCCAAGAGTTTAGCTGGCCGAGATTTATTGGCATGTTATTCTAATTGCTATTTATTAGCGGAGGGAGACGGCAGATTAGCAGCAGTGGCAGCAGCACAGCTGCCTCACTGTCTGACAATCACTCATTCAGTTAGTCATTCCATTCATTCGTTCATTCAGTCATTTCCAAGCTGTCAGCCCGTCAAGTGTGCAAATTAGTTTGTTTGGTTTCGTTTTTATGCATGTGCTTAACCCACTTGTCTAATGTGTGCTCAGAATTGATCGCCTTAAAAATAACTGCATATTTGTGTAAATATTTATATTATTTCTAAATAAAATTCTTGAATTCCCAAACATTTCTATTATTTTCCAGTCGTTGATTGTGTAACACTGCTTTCTCGAATATAATTATCGTATAATTAGCGAGGTGATAATTCAAAAACGTCTGAGGCAGCCCTAATCGTGATCGATTAATTTAGAGGTGATCTATTGTTGTTTCCCCCGCCCAGGCTGCATATCTATTAGTTCTGGATTACAGATCTCCCACCTATTCATCCGCATCGCCTACAGTCGCTCCGGCAATTCAGCCCGTTGGGGACTACACCCACACCCGAACGGCTGCAGTCCGAAGCGATCTCAATCAATAGCTTCCATTCCTATCATCCGTTAATTGCAACTAATGGATTTGCTTACCAGTAGACAATTTTCAGTTAATATTCTAATTAGTTTTCCCCACTCCAGCCTCCCCCGAAGCGCTTGTAATTAGTTTCCAGAGGAAATTACCAACGACTACGCACGCTGTGGGCGTAAGCCAAATCTAGACTCTTCCTCTATCGGCTCTGGGGGTGATCGTAAAATGGTTGATGCTTATTTTTATAGCGGATTCTCTCGACTATCAAAAGACCATAAACCGAGTCTGACCGCAAATCGCAGCCATTACCGCTAGAGAAACCAAATTAATATGCAGCATTTCGTGTAATTCGCCCACCGAGCCAAAACACTTCCTTAATAAAGCCCAGGGAGACCCGGCCCGCTGAGTGAGAGGCCAACTAATGCGTGCATAATTTTTAATAAATATTTTTCAAGATCTCCCTGCAGCTGCAGCTCGGAACGCGGCTCTCGGATCGCGAATCTCGGAGACTGCCTGTGGAGGCAGTCCAAAAAATGCTTCCTGGTTTAATTAATAAAGCTCTGGCTGCCCGGCAGAAGCACCAACTTCTAGCCGGCGGCCAACTGCTGACCAACTTGTCAATCAACAACATTTCTGAATCTGGAACCCAGCCATAGCCACGATGATTGTGATTATCAATTTCATTATCAGGCTCAGGTTGAGATCAGCCCGAGGGAGGCAGGACTGCGAGACAAACACTTCCGTTTTGGCAAGACGGTACAATGAACTTCCCGCTTCAAGGCTCGACCACTCAATGCCTCCTCACGCAAAAGTCGTCATTATGAAAATATTTCCCCACCGAGACCAGACCAGCATCTCCCGCGAAAGCTTATCGGCTGGTGCTCAGCCAGCGCTTATGTGGCCCACGTGTCTGTCCGTCCCACTGTCCACAGCCACCGCTCTGCTGCTCCACCCGACGAGGCGCGAGCAGGTTTTCCTTTCTGGAAATTATGCACTTTGTATGCAGAAAAGCTGGCTAGGCGATAAAAATCTGCATAATTTCCAGCCGCAAGTTTATTGCCGTTTCCTAGTGCTCTGCAAAAACCGCCATAAAGCGCAAACAGACTCTGCGGTAGAAAGAGTCGCAGCTTCCCCCCTTTTTTTTTCTCTGACCCTTTCATAATCGTAATCAATATTAAGTTATATGATAAATTATCTGGCACCAAATTGCAGCATTTAAATTGTCAAAGGAAATTATCGGAAATTATGCTAAAAAGGGTTTCAGCGGCCACAGCGATGAAATTACTTTCGGAACTCTGGACCCTTAACTTAACTGTCAATTTGTCTCGCGGGGTAATGCGAATGATCGAATGTGTTGGTTCATCTTTTCGATAAAGATCGATGGGTTCACTTCCCCGATGATGCTACAGATAAGTGCCTGTCTTGTAAAGTCTTTTTCAATAAATTAAAACGACTTTAATGGCTCAAGGGCTGGAAGGGCTAAGGCCTAAAAGCCTGGAAGTCCAATTCTTTCTGCTTGCTAATATGTGGTCAACAAAAAAGTTTAGAGCCAAGAAATTGCTTTGCAACACCTGCAGTCGTTGTGTGGCACAACTTTACTGCCTTTCTGTGGCAGGAAAGGGAACAGGCTTTATGCAAAGGCTCTTAGTGGGTAACCCAGAGCCCAGGGCTGTGGAATTGCTCAAGGCCTAGAAAGGTGATCTTGATGACGGTTAAGGTGAGATGGCGAATCTAATAGAGATTTTTTCCAGAAGGTAAATAGTATATGAAGTGAAATGGAAACTTAGTCTATGAAACTTTCTATGGATAAGTCTTATTCTTACAGATCTTCAGGAAATACCGATTGGTTTTAAACATCTACCGAATCAAAGTATCTATTGAATTGCTTCCTAAATGTATTTCCTTTCATGTTTCCCCTGCATCACCACAATTAGCCACGCCCTCGTTTCAAGCCCCATCTCGAGTGCCTGCCCCTTGCTTTTGGACTTTCATTGGATCTCTGAGCATCTGAAGCTAGCACAGGTCCGCAACATCCGGTTAGTGCCTACTTGGAGGTTGTGCTGGACGCGACCACTTCTGCGCACAAATGTTAATTAAATACCTGTCCATCTATTAAAAAACATACGTAAATTTATGTTGTTAACAAGGAAGTGCGCTCTGCGCATGCGCACACTTTTATTATTATCATCAGCAGCATCGTTGTCGTTTGTGGAGTTGGCCTGGCCGTCGCTCAACTCGCATCAGGCCGTGGCCACTATTTGGTCACTACTACCTGTCCGCCAGCTCCTCCCCCTTTCGCCTTCTTTCCCCTGACCCCGTACCGCATCAGGCCCCGGGCTGCTCTCTATTGCAGAAAAGGCCTGTAACTGTTTGCAGCCATTTGCATATGTCGCCGAGCGTTTGCGTTGCGGTTTTAACGATGCGCTGCTGTCGCCACGTCGCTACGTCATTCGCTAATTGGTCGAGATACAAATCGCCACGAGAGAGTGAAGTGACGACGTCGCAGCCACCAGCCACCAGGCATCCTCAGCCCAAGAGGAACAGGATGAGGATGAGGATGTTGTCGGGGCGTTGTCGGGAAGCTGGCCATCAGCTGTTGCCAATGCGGGGGATGGTGGTGGCCTACACTGTCTGGAAATTAAAAAGTTTGCCCACAACTCAAGATTGTCCTGATATCTGTACTATATATAAATTCTTTCCAGTGTATTTAGTTTCTAGCAACCATCATCGCCTTCCCCCAACCGGTGGCACTTTCTTCGACTGTGCGTTGTCTCTGCCCCGCTAGATGCTGTCAAATATTTGCTCAAGTGTTTCTACTTTTCACACCACCCCGCCACACCCCCTCACATACACCACCCATGTCAAGCCGCCGCGCCCCGCCTACCCTCCCCTGGGCGGACAAGGCTGGCAATTTGCTTTATGGGATTTACGTGTAGTGGGGATAGGTGGTTTGGCATTTTCGGGAAAGTGGACATCGGAAATTTGGTTAGCCTTAATGCATTCAAGGTGTGATTTTTTTCTTTTCCTCTGCCCCCAAACTAACTGGTTGGTGTGGAACAACTCTTGGAAAGAGGATCGCTTCTAATAATTGGCTCCACTTTGCAGCTCATAAAAAAAACATAGGCGATCTTGGTCATGGGGTTTAGTTTCTAAGAGACATAGTTAGTTATGTATAGTTGAATCATAAACTCACCTTTGTTCTGTATAATGGATTGCTGAAATCCCAGTCTGGCGCCACAAATAAATATCCGCATTTGGAGACCTTTCGCGATGCCTAAATGAATAAAAAGAGAAAATGTTACCAAATGTTCATAATATTTTTCAAGTCAATAAAGATTAAGATATGTAATACTAATAAACACATTTCATTGCAAATTGGTTATGGAATATAAAATTATATAACAATGTCATAAGTCTATGAGAGTTGAGTAAGTTTGATTTGATAACAAATGTTTAAAAATAAAATATAAAATGAATAAATTCTGAATTAGCAAAACAAATTTTTTGGTTATCATAGTTTTCTTATCTTTCAGCCGAAAAAAAACCAAGAAATTTAAATGTATTTTTAATTAAAAATGCCAAATTTTTCGCAGCCCCTTTTCGGTGGAGCTTTTATCGTTGGTTTGCTTATCGCCGTCGACTTCTTTCGTAGGTTTGTGGCGCACGTGTCGCGTTAACTATACCCCAACCTCATACCACAGATATTCACAAAAACCTATATATAAATATACAGACATATATACATTGTTTCTCCCACAAACGATCCGTCTAAGCCATGACTAATGTTAATGACGTGCGCCAATTTAACTGTCTGCGTGGTATTTTTTTGGGGGGGTCTAAGCAAATAAAATAAATTACAAGTAGGAACAACTACAAAAACCAGACCACTTGGTGTTGGAAGCCGCCATGGGCGGTGGGGGAAGGGGCGAGTTCAGGGGGTCTTGGCCTTTTGCACACCTCTGGTCTAGAGCTGGCGAACAATAAGCGACAATTGGGCCGCATTTAAAGTGGATTTCAGTCGTTAGTCGCGCCCGCCATTAAGCTGCTGTCGGTCTCTTGTTTTGGATTGTTTTGGTTTTGGTTTCGGTCTGATTTGGGTGGGTGTTGTGTCTTTTCATTTCCAGATTTGACAAAGCTGCAAATGAGCTTCAGCAGTGGCCCCACTTATCTGGATGCAATTGAACCCGATTCAACTGCAACTGCGCTTGGGTCGCCAATCATTAACTAATTAAAGAAAATAGAGCAGACCAAAAGATAGAAATATTTATTTTTAGTCTATTGCCTTTAGAAATCAAAATGCTATCAAAGTATACAAAAAGACCCCAATTAGGCCACCTTTCTGTGACTGACCAGACACTCTCAAATATGGTCTGGGTTCCCTGGATTTCTGTCCCGATCCCAACCGACCCCGAGCATGTCTTGTAAGCTGACACCATAAAATGTTTACAAAACAATAAAATCACAAAAACTTAAAGCCAAAACCAAAACCAAAGCCCAGAAACAAAATGTGTAACTCGGTAGTTCCCGGCCACTCACTCTCCAACGGCTGGCTCCCAACTATCCAACAACTTAACAAAGTTAGCCGAGAAAAAAACCTCCCACTCCTCTTCCACGGAGGTCTAATCGAGCTACTCCATATATATATTTTTTCTTTTTGGGGTCTCTGGCTGTCTGGTTTGCAATTACGCTGGCTAATTTTATTTATCTGGTCTGTGCCTGTTTTTTTTTTTTTTAGCTTTTTGCATTTTATGATACTCGTATTCTTTGTACTATTTGTTGTTGTCGGTGGTGGGTCGTTTAAATGCGCCATTAACATTGATTTATGTGAAAAGTCGCACGTTTGTATTCAAATATCTGGGGGATAGCGAGAGCGACCGACCGAGGGAGAGACTTGCAACAGTCGCAACAGTAGCAGCAATTTTAGTTGCAGTTGCAGTTGCAGTTTTCTGCAGCTACTGCTGCTGTCAGGCTTTCATCAGGTTAAGTCAGTTGACACGTTTTCCACATAAATTTCAATGGGTCCGAGAAGTTAAGTGACAGAAATAGGTTCAGGTTTAGTGGGTAGCACCTTCTAACGGACCGTTTGCGATCGGGCTCACACGATCACCAAATTGCGATCTACTTTTGTCACATTACGGCCACCGCTAAACTGTGCGACGTGTGGCGACTCTGGTTGTCGGATTCAAGAGTTATTGGGGGGGTGTACTGGGTACTGGGTTCCAGAGTACCGTTGGCTACTCGTAATACCCAGCCACGTATCTTAAGACCGACTCTCTGGAACACACAGGGGCACAACGCCATTCAAACATAAATTATCAATGCCAGCCCGGTTGTTGTTTTGGTTGTTGGCGCAAATAAAAAAATGTATACAAAAAGTACTGAGGAAAAATCGTGACTAAATGAGTCACAATTGTCTTCCAAATTGTGCGAACTGTTTTTCAATTTGGCGTCACATACAAAAATATATTAGGAAAAAAACAAAAACAGCACAAATAATAGAACCTTGAATACTCTAAGGTAGTACTTGAAATGAAGCCACTACAAGTGGAAATAAAAATAGGCCTTCAAATGAATTATAGAAAATGGTAACTATATCTAAGATTATTTTATACCATATTCTAAGAAGTGTTTGTAAGTCACAACTTCGGTGTTTCAAGAGTATGCTTAGCAAATCCCATTCTCATGCTGAAAATTTATGCATCGCGCATGTCCCCGGTGACACACAAATGGGAGCTTTGAAAAACAGATCATAGCTGGGGATAGGGGCTTCTGGGCTGCGCGTGCAGAATTTTGAGTGAGCCGATGGGCGGGATAGGTGTGGCACCGCCCCCGGGCGCTGGCTAATGAAGCAAAGTGCGCCGTGCAAATGTGGGCCGAGCCAAACAAAAGCCAAACTGATTGATCTGCGGCGAGTGAGTAACTCGAACACAAGTACGAATGCTAATGACAAATCAAAAGGTTGTGACTGCCATTGGGAATTGTGTATGTAACTGGAGCCAAGGTAAAAGAAAAAAAAAGGTTTTTTCGGCAACTCGTTGATTGTAATCGAAGGCATTAAAGGTTTTTTTTCCAGCTCAGCTCATTAGTCGGCCTTCCAATTTAAAAGTTAACTACTGAATGGTACTTCTAAACACAGTGATTTTTATGTAAAATGTATTATAAAGACTAATATCTATTAAATCTAAATTAAAACCCAAACTACTTACGATACAGAACACACTCGAAATGAAGTCATGCAAACACAATTATGTATGACAGACAAAAGTAAAGAAACTAGAAACGATTGGGCACTCTTAGCTCATACTTATCCGCAAATGTATGCAGTTTCATACTTACTGGTTCTGCCAGGCCCGACGCCGATGCTGTTCGCTATTGCGCAAGCGTGCAAGATACGAATAGAGAATGCATTTGGTTAGTCGTAGAATTAAATACTAATAACAGGGAGAGAGAGAGAGGGGCCATCAAATGACTCAATTAACGACGGCGGAGATGACTGCCATTGGCGAGGATGATGCTGATGCAGTTTGACATTTAGCCACATCCAAGATGACATTCAAGACGCTCGAGATGAAGGCGAGCCCCGAGTGTCTTCGAGCTGCAGCAGCCAAATGAATTTAAATTGCATGAGACCAACTTGTTTCCGATTTAATTTGATAAGAAACCAGAGGCGAGAGGCGGGAGGCAGTCGCATACTTATGACTGTGAAATGTCAAATCAAAAGTCACGTTTTTCACTCACTGCTAGCTGATTTATTGGCAGAGGCCGGGCTATTAACTTAACCGAACCGCTGGCCATAAATCGGAGCTCGGAGCTCCGAGATCCACTTGCAGAGTTGTGGGAAATTTCACTTTTGCCGCTGCTGCGGTTAATAAGCCAAAAACCGATTGACAAATAAACAATTTGTGGCATCCCCTCCACAGATCACGTATGTGTCTGTACATATATACATAGGTATAGCCTGTTTAGTTAGTTAGACTCACGCACACGTGGTTCATGTCCAAGTCAAAGTCAAGTCGCGTCACAAACTCGCCTCTCCTCGGATTTGGATTCGGATTCGAGTTGGAGTGGAAAGTTGTTTCCAGCTTCAATCTCTTGAAGCTTGTTGAATCTCTGGGGCTTTTAACTCAATTTGAGCCTGCTTCGGTGCTGGCTTTGTTTGTTTATTTATTTTTGTTTATTTATACATGTGTATTTTCAATCTTGCCCCGTTGTCGCCCGTCGTCGGGGGTACTACCATATAGTTGTTGTTTCGCTTCGAGTTTCTAAGTTGCGGCTTAATAGGCAAGCAGCCACAACAAGCGGCGAACCAACATCCTCAACCCATCGCTACAAAAGCAAAAACAGCGGGCTAAATCATCATTAGCCATCACATCAATCCAGTTGGCAGTAAGATGCCAACAGGTTTTCTACGCTGCGATAAGCAATTTTTAGTTTATACATATCTCTTAGTGGCTGTGGATATTAAACTTCAAAAACACCATATTTGAATAGTGTTTTTGAATCAATAAATTACACATTGTTTGTTATGATGAAGATTTTAATTAAAATATGCAGACACCAGACGTATCAGAAGTTCAAGGTTGAGTCCTATGATTGATGTGTAGAAATACCACAATGTATTATTTTATGTCGTAAATTAATGAAATATGTATGTACCCTATAAAGCCTTCGGGGGAATTTCAATTATTTCCGCTAGTTAGTATGCTAATTAATTCCGTTGATTTTTTCAATGAGTTCCCCTGAAACATTTTTGTGGTGACAAAAATAGCCACGCGGGGATTATTCCCCAAGGTAAATACCCAAAAATTTCTCCTGAAATGGAATTTGGTTTACCCATTTTTAAGACTTGGAAATTACAGGCCATCCATTCCGATAATTGAAACATCAAGTCAAGTCAAGTCATACCCTCGTTTCTTCAGTAAATGGGGCAGACATTTGGAATTACAGATCATTGCCGATCGCCGATGAATGAAAATAATTTTTACCCGAAAACAGCTTTTTCCTCGGTTATGAATCGTATCAATCAATCGATGGGGAGGTTTCGGAGGCGCATAATTAATGTGTGAGAACAACTTTCTTTGTTGGCCATGAATCGCAGCCGGGCAGTCGAATGGCTTGGGCCGAAATAAAAATGAAAGTGGCCCTCACTTTTTTTTTTGGCCAAAAGGCTCGTCGCCGATCTTAGGCGCGATTAAGCCGATGTCGGCTAATCTCTGCTCATTCATAAACATAAGTATATGTGCCTGGCCCACCACGCATGGAAGCGTCTCCGACATGAAATATGATTAATAAGTTTCGCACGCTTATTAAGTCACCCCGGACCCCAATCGAAGGGAACAAGTTGTAGACTGTGAGTTGAAGAAAGTGGTTTGCGATCAGCCAAGGCAGCACAGGTTGAGAGTGACTGTGCCCAGAGCACTTTGCCAAGCGTTTTGTGGGTAGACCAAGGCATACAGTGGGTATGTTTAAGATTAAACAGAAAGTGAATGACGCAAAGTGATAGATAAGCTAAACAAGATGGGAAAGATACTAATTTAGAGCAAGATAAAATCAAGAGATAGAGAACCTGTCTGAGCACCTGACTAATAACTTTTTTAGTTACATTTTTTAGTTAATAATTAACCTGTAAAAAAACTAAAAACAAATCCCAAAACACCTTTTTCAAGGGTATTGAAAATCGAAAGTACGAAAGAAATCGAAAGCAAAACTCCAAAACCAAAACCTGAGACAGAAACCAACAGACGATCGTCAAGTGCAACAAACCGATGAACCGTCGAGCGGAGACGGGGCAGGCTGCCTGGTGGAGCAGGGGCAGCTGCCATGAGAGGCGGAGGCGGTATGGGGTACGAGCGGCAAGTGCACGGTACGGCTTGGCATGGCATGGCATGGCTTGAAAAATATGGTGTGCCATGGCACTGGGTAGCAAGTGTGACTGACCAGCAGCAACAGCGAGGCAACTGCAGTTGGAAATGAAAGCGAATGTCGTTGTGGTTACTGCTAAGGTTGTTGTTGCCACTGCCGAAGAAAGATGCGGTTTTATTTCGATGGTTTTGATTACACATGAAGAAATATTTGGGGCTTAAAAAAGTTGGTAATTATTAGGCCAAGAATTAGGCAAGAAGCTATGGTTTTGTCAAGAGGGAATCAAGAAATTTGTATCTCTAATTAAGCTTATATATAAATTAATATAGTGTTTCTGGGCTATTTCTCTCTGTGTAGTTGCTTGATCGACGCCTGCGGTGCGCGGTCGCGCTTCAAGCTCCATTTACGAAAAAAGCTGATCGAAGCGAGGGCCAAAGAGATGCCTCCACATCAACATCGAGAGGAGGAGAAATCGAGGGGCAGACAGTATGTCTGTTTGTTTGTCTGCCCCGGCCCAGGCCCAGTACCAGCTACGATCCGATCCGATCCGGAACCACCAGCGGCCAGCGATCGAATCGAATTCGAGGCGAGTCGATGCATCCCCACATCCGACCAGTTCTGCACTGCATGCCAAGAATTTCGCCTGAGCGCGATGCCCGGACTAGAGTGGGAAAGTTTCGGGGCTCCAGCGCCGTCATGCGAGTTATTAACATAACATAATATTGACTTGGATGGGCCGTGCCCATTGTGTAATATTTAAGAAAACAAAAAAGTATTGGAAATTTCGGTTTCTTCTCTCTTTCCGCATTTCTTTCCTTTACAGATCTGGTGGCATTTTCACTTTCGTTGGCGGCTGTGGGAACTGCATGTGCATCATGCTGGGCCGGAATGGAGTCGGCTTGGATGAGATCACCTGTATGGGTGACATCGTTTAGGCCCAGTAATTAGTCATCATTATCGAGTGGAGAAAGGGAATTTAAAGAGGGGTGGGAGACTACGAGGGCAATTACCAATGCAGGTTACAGACGGATTAGTTGTAGATTTTTTGATGATTGGAGAAAATTGTATATCTTGTATTAAAACCGGATGTGTTCAAAGTCTCAAAACGTGTCTGTTATTTTTATCTCCGAAAATAGACCCTATTATTTTCTGTACTACTTTATTTGTGTAATAAATCCAATTGCAATTTCCGCTGATATTTACCTAATGGCAACCTCAATAAAAGCCCAACCGCAAAATATAATTACAAACAGAAATAACAAACCGAAGAGGCAGAAATTAAAGCCAAGTCTGAAACCTCAGGCTGGCAAACTAATTAAAACACCACGTACAACGCTTACAAAGCAAACAAACCAGCTATACGGAAATAAATGAAAGCCATCGAACAAAAATCTAGTCATGTAATGCGATGGCCACACACACCGCAAGATACTATAGATATATCCCAATCCTTTCAGTTTTCTTGGGCTGAGGTTGGGGCTGTTGTATGAGAAATTACAATAGAAAAACTGTCTAAAATTGATTTTCAGATGGGGAAAACAACGCACAGTCGGCCAGAAAAAAATTACAAAACAATAGTATTAAGGCAACATTTCACTTTCAATGGACGGGGGCAGAGGTGAACCAGGGAGTGCTAGGAGGGTAGGAGGCTGCTTTTTATTGGTAGCTTCATCATCTTTCGCATTTGGGAGTCTGCTGCTTGCTGCGTGGATGCTGATGCTGATGCTGCTTTGTTGCCTCTTCATTTGAAAGCTCGGCATTTGAAATCGACGTCCAATGGTGGAAAATCGTGCACATGAATTTCAGTAAGTAAAAGTTAAAATCACCTTCAACGTTTTTCGGCTTCTTGTGCGCCGCATATGTTTGCATTTGATTGTTTTTTTCTTTTTTTGTATTTTTATTTTTGTTTTATTTTTATTTCTATTTTTATTTTTATTGCCGCACATGAGTTTGCAAGTTGCCGCTACTCCACTCGACTCCACTCCGTTCGAGTTCGACTCCGCTCCGACATTTGGGCGATAGGCATCGCACATACACTCACTACTCGGCCGTACAGGTCGTGTCTGGCGACTTCATGTTGCCAATCCGATGGCGGAGGACAGTCAGCCCCATCGGTATTACAATTCATTTAGAAATGCATTTAAAAATACATAAAATACCCAGACTTTGCCCGCCGATGCCTGGAAAATGGCTGGCGCGGGGTGGCAGTGGCAAATGAAAGCGAAAGCGCAAAGAATGCGAAAATGAAATGGAAAGTTTTCGCCAAGTGTTCATAGTGTGATCACAGGTATGCATCATATGTGAAGGAAAACTGGTAATACTTGCTCGCCATGGATGGATTGGATTGGAAATCCAAGTAAATATTTTGATTCAAAGGAAAATATTACCAAGACTTGCAAGTTTTCTTTAAATCTAAATATAAGGATAAACTTTAATCACAAAATGTATTTGTTTTTAAGGAAATTGCATTACAGGACTATCAAGATTTCCCCCATCACTCTGGTTAC